AGGGCAGCACCGCCACTGCCACTATAGGCGGCCTAAGTTTGGTTATGCCTGCAGCCAGTCGTTGGTTTTCAGCATCACAGCAAGCCCTCCGTTGAACTTCCTCTCCCCCACAGGTGCCTCTTTCAGCAGGGTAAACAGGATGGGCAGCTCCTTGGTTGCTGCCCGCTTGTTTACTCCTGCAGGGCATGGTTGGTGAGGGGAAAGGGCAGTGCAATAAGACGTGTAAGGCTAGGCTTTTAATCACTGCAAGAAAACCAAGGTACGGGTGGGATGCAAGCCACAGCGATGCAAAGTACTAACTCTGGTTCTGCCTGTTTCTTAACAATACCACAGTATGACGCACAATGTCATGGGGATGACTTGAGCGCGAACTCACCATCTAAGACCTCTCTCCGGCCAGCACCCCGGAAGAGGTCGAACAGCGCCTGCAGCCAGTCCATGCATTGGGAGTTGCGCTCCTTCCACCGAGGAGGCCAGGCATTAGGGGTGAAGAGCCTGCAGCCTGTGAGCCTCTCGAGGTTTCCAAGCCGCTCGATGATGTTTTCGGCAGATGCCTTCGCAAATCGCATGCAGATGCTGCAGCACTCGTCGAGGTCCCCATCCATGCTTTTGTCGTGCAGCTCGAACTTGTGCTGCACCTCCTCGCCGCTGGAGTTCCAACCCTTAATTGCAATGTTTCGGCTTGTTCGGTGCGCCTTGATGAGTGCAGTGAGGAGTGGAGAGTTGCCTCCGCCGAAGTTGGCTCCGCACTCTTCGTATAACTGTTTGATAAACACCACCGTTCGCGTTACGAGTCCATGCACCACTGTCAAGTCAATCTGTAGGGGAAACTGGCTTCAGAGAGCTGAGAGGCACACACGATGAGACCACAAAAATAGACTGCGTGTCTCCAAACCGACCTGCCGAGCTTGAAAGGCTTTGTTGAGGCTTTTCAACAAGGTGAGAATGTCAGCATGGAAGTACAAAAAAGAAGTGAAATTTGTAGCTGTTGACGATGTTGTACATGGCGTCATCATACTCAAGGAGCCGAATGACCACTGCTGGAAGGACAGCAAGAAGTCGGCCAGCTGCCAACTACGCAGAGGGCTTCGTTGGCGAGGTGGCAATAAAAGTGCATCGCGAAACGGGCTGCTAGGCAAAGGCGGGAGGGGAGAATCGTCTCGCGGCGAGCTTCGAGGCGGCGGCAGCAGATCAGCGTCGGGCTGCGATGCTGCGGCTGCAAAATCACAGCATCTCGGTAGGGGCTGTGAGGGGACTCCGACGTCCGAGAAGAAACTCGCGGTGGACTGCGAGGGTGTGGCAGCGAACTCGAAGCAACTCGCGGCAAGCTGTGCGCCAGCGTCGACCTGCATGTCAAGTTCACGGAGCTATGCAGCTAAGAAACTACTCAGACAGGATCACGCGGCAGCGGCGGGACTACATGGCAGCGGCGGGAACGGATCGACACGTGTGTCATTCGGCCTCCACTTGGACGCCGAAGCGCTCGAACGGACCAGGAGATCTAGTGCCGACTGCAGGCCTGGCTGAGCAGTCGCTGGCCTAGTCAACACCTTTGGGCTGCGACGTCTAGACCCTTGCAGCTGCCACCCCTCGTCATCGCTCATGACGGGCGTGTAGGGGTGAGAGGAGGCTAAACTATAGTGGCAGAGACACGAATCCGAGCATCTACTCCAGCGCGCAGCAAAACTAACGTGCCGAGAGCGCAGCAGAATTGGTCGACCTGGCTGTAAAGAATCAGATGAAACGGGTGGTCCCCCCAGAACCGATTCGATGGGGACGGTGTGAATGGGGGGACAGCCAGGGCGACGCGGCATGCATGCACGCATAACAGCGTGTTGACCAGGCTGATGCATTCCTGCCGCTGCAGCTTGTGTGGGTGATACAATCTGCAGCATCTCGTTTGCGATTGGTCAAAGTTCACTAAACTCACCAAGGACCAATCACTGCAGCGACTCACGATCCAACACAGCTTCAGTGCTGCTGGAAAATTTGGCCAAGGACCACTCAGAACCAGGGCTGATTTTATCAGACTATTTTAGTCTGATTGTCTGAAATTTCGGACCAATTTTTTGGACGATCCTGATTTTTCAGACTTGCCATTTTCTGAATGCTGAACCCCTCAGAGTTATATGTTTTTTAATACTGAGAATCTCAGACTTCGCAGTTTGCGGATACTGAGTTTTCAGAGCGCAGCGCGTACGGACCCTGAGACACACATACCAGTACTGCACCTACCTGCCCTCACCCAAAACTTTCGTCTAAGTCCCCAAGGGCCAGAGACAAGTCCTTTCACACACACCCCGCCCCGCAACCTCAAAAATCCGGCTAAGTCCTAGCAGCCAGAAACAGTTCCCCCTAGCACATTTCTTCCCTACTCGCCTCGCAGCCCCAGAAATTCGACTAAGTCCCCACAGACAGACACATCCCTCCCACACCTCCCGCGACCCTAAAATTTCGACTAAGTCCCCACAGCAAGAAATATCCCTCCCTCAGCTCCCGCAACCCGAAAAAATCGGCATAAAAAAATCCTCCCACAAACCCCCGCAACCCGCAATCCTACTCATTACCCGACTTTTGTGAAGTTCCTAAAAGGGGTAATAAGAAAATCATTCACCTGGCTGGCGATTTTTTTATTTTTTTTTTCTTTCCGATTTCTCAGACGATGTGAAACTAACTCTAAAAAATCACATTGTCCATGGCTCAATTGAGGGAGTGTTTTTTCCAACGCGACACTTTCAGGCAACTTCGTGTTATTGCTAATTTTGCAGTCAAATTTGCCCGTCAATAACAGTTTTGATACAAAGTGTCGTAACGTTGTGTCGTGTAGGAACAGGCCCTGAGGGACAGAATTCGAAAAGGAGGGAAGGGGGAATCGAATTCGAGGGGGAAAGGGGGAGGGAATCAAAACCGAGGGGAGGGGTGAAGCGAAACGGAGGGGAGGGGGGGGGGGAGAGGAGGGAGGGGGGAACGAAACGGAGGGGAGGGGGGGGGGGGGAGTCGAGACGCAGGGGAGGCGTAGAAGTGAAACGAAGGGGAAGGGGGAAGCGAAACGGAGGGGGAGGGGGGGGGTTCGAAAATGGAGGGGGAGGGGGGAGGATGGAAATAGGGGGTAAGCGGGAAGCTGTGGAATTGGGCGATGGGAGAAACTGCACGCCATTGCAGCGCCCCGGTTGATCGATCGTGGACGTTTATCACTTGCGACCATCGAATGGTTAAAAAACGTCGAAACGATCGCAATCGATCGTGACTGTTACGTTTTTATAGAATTTCAGTTGACCAAACGGGCAGCTGTCGAGAATTTCGCCTAATAGGAACGACTGTTATTAGAATGCGGAATTTACTCAAAGTCAAATGCAACTTTTTTTTTTTTTTAAAAGTGAAATCCTCTCTCCTAGTTGCCAAATCAGTTTTTTCTTTTGTACACGCCCTAATGAAAAGGCAAACTTTTGCTAGGAAACACTAGTGAATCCACGTAAATTTTCTTGACGAAAAGCTGATGAATGATGGTACCCTAAAACCAATCGTGGGGCCTGGTATGAACTCTGAAAATATAAGATTTCGACTTGGGAGGACTCTGAGTCGACATTCTGAACCATGAGTATTTCAGACAGACTCGTTGACTCTTGGACACTGAGATTTCAGAGTAGCGAAAATTCGAAAAATAACCCTTTAGACTCGCGAATTTTTTTGGGGGGCAAAATCAGAGAGCTTTTTTTTGAAACATTAGCCCTGCTCAGAACCCTCCTCACACGTGCTCTATCGCGACTCCATATAGGCCCGCTGATTTAGGTGAAGGACTGAAATTTCATGAAGGCTGATTACTCAGGGTACACGTAACAAGAACTACTATGAATCAGGCATAGCAAAAAAGAGCCCCTAGAAATCAGGGCAAGGGAAAATCGAAACCTGAACAAACAGGCCACCCCTTGGAAAACGCCCTAATGTACAGGCTTTCAAGCCGTTTTGGCCTGACTTCTGAGGCCCTGTTCAGTGGGGTGGGGAGGGGAGATTATTTTCAATTTAAAATAAAAATGACAAATGTAAGACACGCCAATACCATTCTACCACTTGCTTGGTCTTCCCCACATGTTTGTGCATTTCTTTAGTTGGGTTGGGAAGTTAACTTATGTTTCGTAATTCACAGATTTTCAGCGGTAGTGTAGTATAGCTCAGTATGAGGTCGGTCGTTATTGTCATGCGAAGACTCAACCTCTACGGGTGCTTCCCACAACAGTCTTGTAGTTCGCGCTGACGTGGCCAACATGACTATGATGGGACACTGTGCCTAGCGGACTCAACGTTCACAAAACACCTGACGGAGCCCCTTCAGGTCCTGTCGGGTATTCGGCATTATCCAGATGTCGGGGATGGCGGAGGGGCTTGCGCAAACCCAATCGCGCGTGTGGCCAGCAACGGTATCTGATTGGCTGACAGAATGTAGCCTGACAAGGTTTGGACAACACCAGCCAGCAGCACCTACTTCCACAACTGGATCGCGATTATGAGGGGGCTGCTACTAACGGGGGCGCCAAGGAGGAACGGAGCTGCACGTTCCTGAATAGTTTCCAGTGTTATTTTCGCCGAGGCGTTGTCCTGAAGGTGATCGTTTCCGACCAGCTCCTTGGTGAACAGTTCATTTGCTGCAGTGATTCGCGTGAACCGAATGCATCAGCCGACCCACCTGAAGGGCGATGATGGACTCAAAGCCACAAAAGGACGCGAAGGTGGTTAGTGAAACGCCTCGCCAAGTGCGGATCAGATAGTTCTCCGATAACACTGCGAAGCGCAGGCTGTCTGTTCAACACCTGACAAACTCTACGAATTCGATGACGGTCGTACGAAAAGCGTAAGACCCGCGAAATCTCACCTGAAAAGTTCGTAACAGTTTCGCGAACTTTACATGAGGGGAACGGCCTGGCTCCAATCTTTCCGTAGTTTTCACCTGGGATTGAAGGCCCCAACTTAGCTGCTCGTCTCCTCCTCTGCCTGATGCACCTCTGGCATTCCCACTCGTCATCGTTGCGTGGGTAATGGCTGTGGCATCGTGCTTGTCCCGTGACTGCTCACTTGTTGAGCTTGGCAAAACCACGGCGCTGCTATGTCGTAGTCTCTGTTCCAGCAGCAGATGGCCGAGACACATTCGTGTAGGAAAACACTCCTAAGGAATTAGAGCCTGACTGGCACGTACTGATTGCAATGACCTAGGTTTGTCTGCCTAGTTGCCCATCGACCATGGAGGACTAACTGTAGGGTAGGCTCAGCGACCGTAGTGTAGGAGTGGCTGTTCTCGTTTACCATCCGAGCTGGTTGAAGGTTGGTAGTGACAGGCAGGAGGAGGCCTCACGAGGTTAGCGGGAGCAGCAGTTTCAACTCGTCCCCTTTCAATCCCTTACCCGATTGACATCCTTCACACCTCCCAATTATCCGAGTCCTTGATATTTTTTTCTCGCCACATAGAAGAGGCACGCCATGGCTCGCCGTTCAGGAACAGCGTACGGACGGTTGATGAACAAACTTAGGAGCCCGGCACAGATCATTCTTACCTTCCTCATTGGCTTCGCGATCCCCTTCCTCTTCTACGTGTTTCTCGATTCCACCTTCGATGTCGACATCGCGCCCTATTGCTATGTGTTCGTTGTCTTCATGCTCGTGTCCACGGCGTTAGTGGTCTGGGTCGAGTGCTTCCTCGCCATCTTCATCAAGAACGACCCCCCCGAACAACCCGCGACGCCCTATCCCCCTGCTTCCGCCATCATCGCCGCGTACTTGCCCAATGAAAAGGACACCATTCTTGAGACCATCGAAGCCTTTTTAAACATCGAGTATCCCGCGCCACTACAGGTGCGTCTTCTAGAGTGACCCGTTTTAGCATGTAGTGTTTCGTGTTGGTCTTTGCCCATCCATGGCCTGTTTTGCTGCAAGGACTAGTCCCCTCTCCCCGTCGTATCCTCCTTTACGAACGGATCGTTTTACCGTATTTCTCTCCCTCTCCCCCCTGCCTCTCCTCTCCCAGGTTATCCTAGCTTACAACACGCCTAAGGACATGCCTGAGATGGAAACCATCCTCGCCGAGATGGGGCAGCAAAGACCCGACCGCTTCCTGCCCTACCGCGTTGTCCACTCGCGCTCCAAGGCCGAGAACGTGAACGCGGCCGTGAAGCTCGTCCGTGGCGAGTTCGTGGGCGTGTTCGACGCTGACCATTGTCCGTCGCACGACTCGTTCATGCGCGCGTGGAAGTGGCTCAGCAACGGCTACGACATCGTGCAGGGCCACTGCATCGTGCGCAATGGCGAGGACAACCTCGTCGCTAAGCTCGTCGCCGTCGAGTTTGAAACCATCTACGGCATCGGCCATCCCGGCTCGGCCGCCGTTCACAACTTCGGCTTCTTCGGCGGCTCCAACGGCTTCTGGAAATCGGGTCTGCTGGCCCAAATCGGCATGGACGCCGCCATGCTTACGGAAGACATCGACTCCTCCATCCGCGTGCTCCTAGCCGGTGGCAAGATCAAGTCCGACCCCGGTCTCGTCTCGTCCGAACTCGCCACCACAACGCTGCGCCAAATATGGAACCAACGGCTGCGATGGGCTCAGGGATGGTTCCAAGTGTCGCTGCGGCACTTCACGGCCGTGATGACGTCGCGAAACCTGTCGCTGTGGCAGAAAGTCGGCATGTTCCACCTGTTCGTGTGGCGTGAGGTGTACCCGTGGGTATCGCTGCAGATCCTCCCGCTGCTCGCGTTCCTCGCGTACAAGATGGACGGGTTCGGGTCGATCAACTGGCTCGACTCGTTCTATCTGGCCACGACGCTGTTTACCTTCTCGTGCGGGCCGGCGCAAGTGGTGGCGGCGTACTTCGTGTCGGCGAAGAGCATTCGGAAGCGGACGCTGTGGTGGTGGATGTACATCGTCTTCTCCATGATGTTCTACACGGAGTTCAAGAATGTGATTGCGCGAGTAGCGCATATCAAAGAGTTCATGAGGGAAAAGGCCTGGATGGTCACGCCACGGCTACTGTCGCGGCGGAGGCGGACGAGCGGTAAAAGCGGCAAGAAAGGAGTTGTGGTGGTTGTAAGATGAGACCTTTGGCTTCATGATGCTCTGGTTTCCTCCATCCAGCCTTGCTTGGGCTGGAAGGATGGAGTCTGAGCGGGTTTTGGGGTACGGGGGGCCATGCGCCCATTTGTACTTGATAAGGGTTAGACACAGTTCCCTGCCACCGTGGGCAGTTGTATTTCCATCCTACGCTCTTTAACCCTCATCCTCCAGCAGCACATCTCATCCCATGTTTCTCTATCGGACCTCTCCGCCACTTGGAGCGAAGCACACACAAGTGCTGGGCGAGTCTCACGATGCTGCAGATTGAGCCAAGATGTATCTGGATTTAATTCAATTGATATTTTTTATTGCCCCTATAGTTTGGCTGGTTCGAGTAAACAACTTTGCCTCATCCGACTACCCGAAACAAGCACACATAGGAGTCAGGCGACAGAAACCTAGGGATAGGGAAAAAGGAATATATAGTAAATGGACCCTCCAGCCCCAAAACCAACTCCACCCAGCACAAGCCATGACATAAATAAAGCACGCATCACACCACGAAAAAGCTACACTAGCACAGCTACACGAGCGTTGTCATGAAGTATTCCAAGTAGGAAGAGACGTCATGAATGGCGAGAGGTTTTAGGTGCAGGCCCGTCTGCTCGGGCCTGCTCATCACGCTTCCGCACATTCCGCTCCCTGCTCCTGTCCTTTCCGTGCCACCGCCACGGCCATGTCGTGCTGCCGTGACGGCACCGTCTGTCAAATGTAACTTAGGTGGTTACTGTAGATTATACTGGATTGTGCCTTAGAGGGTACAACACCCTAGTCTATATACCCTTGTACTCACACATTTTAGTTCAATTATTCTTCCTGATATGGTATCATAGTAGGTTAGGTTCCCCCCTAGCCCGCCCACGCTTCTGCCCCCTAGACCCTAGCCACCGTCGTGCCCCGCTCCTAGCCGGCCCTCCTGGCCATCGCGCTCGTCCCTAACCGGCCCCCTGGCCGTCGCGTCCGCCCCTAGCCGGCCCCCTGGCCGTCGCGTCCTGTTAACGTAGAAACGAATGATTACTAGAGGTGGAAACCTAGAACAAATACTAGTTGGTTGTACTCACTATAAGCATACCTCAGTCTAGCCTATAACTTCTACATAGATAATATGTATAAGTTGACACACCCCCTAGGCTAGACAAGGGGTGAAACTAAACAAGAAGCAAACAGCTCAGGGCGGCACTACTAGTCCAACCACTGAGGCAGGGGTCTGGAGACCAGTCAGCAAGAATACAACCAAAACTGAAGCAAGCCAGGGTGGCACTACTAGTCCAGCCACTGGAGGTAAGGCCACAAGGCCAGTCTGACAAGCATATATAATAGAGAGTACACAATCAGGATCCTAACAGGGGAGCAGCTACAGGAACAAGACCAAGCTGTACACAGTGCCGCTGATGATCTTTAGGCGCAAGCGCCTTAGTAAAGATATCAGCTGTGTTGGCACCTGAGGCCAAGTGAACTACGCGGGCCTGGCGGCGCTGCTGTAGCTCGCGCAGGAGGAAGTACCGCAGCTGGATATGCTTCGCTCTGCCCTCAAGCCGAGGCTCCTGACACAGGAGTATCATGGCCCTGTTGTCAGCGTACAGGACCGGGGCAGAGCTAGGCCGCTCACCTAAGTCTGTGAGCAAGAAGGTCAGCCAGCGGAGCTCCTGTGCCGCCATGGCACCAGCGTAGATCTCAGCCTCACAGCTAGACTGAGCCACAGACGACGAGCGAGTGGATCTCCAAGAGATAGCACCCGAACCAAGGCTGAAACAGTAGCCCTGCGACGACCTGAGCGTCTCAGCGTCGTCTGCCCAAGAAGCGTCTGTGTGCCCAGTAAGGACCACTGGCCTGCGTCCTCCTAGCACTAACCCCATGCCTGATGTACTAGCAAGATAACGCAAAACCCTCTTAGCGGCAGACCAGTGCTGAGGTCGGTGTCTGCCTGTAGCCACAAAGCGAGCCAGGATGCTGAGAGGGTATGCGAGATCTGGGCGAGTGCAAGTCATCAGGTACATGAGGCAACCCACCAGCTCTGCGTAGGGGCCACTGGGCTCTACTGGCTCCTCAGGAACGGGAGCAGAGAGCCCATGGTCTACGGGTAGAGGTGTGGGCTGTGCGGAGGAGAACTGAAGACCGAACCTCTGAAGGACCTGACGCACCAAGTGTGACTGGGTCAGAGTGATGGTGCGTGCTGCTCTGTCCCTAGAGATCTGCAGGCCAAGATAGCGACGCAGCTCTCCAAGGTCAGTGCAGGTGTGTCTCTTCAGCAGCTCAGCCTTCACAGAGGCCAGTGCGTCCCTGTCAGGAGTAGCGAAGACCAGGTCGTCTACGTAGACAAGGATGTAGAACGGAGTCTGGCCGGAACGCACAAACAGTGAAGGGTCAGCAGAGGACGGAAAGAACTGCAGGTCTGCTAACGTGGCACGTAGCGTGTCGTGCCACTCGCGGGGAGCCTGACGCAGGCCGTAGACCGGGCGCCTGAGAAGCCACTGGGTCCCAGGAGGGAAGGTACCAGTGAAGCCCTGTGGTCGGCGCAGGTAGACCTGCTCGTGTAGGCTGCCCTGAAGAAAGGCAGTAGAGAAGTCGAGGGAGTGAAGCTCGTAGTCACGCTGTGCTGCTACGTGTAGCAGCGCCCGAAGAGTGGTCATCTTCGGGGTCGGGGCGAAGGTCTGGAAGAAGTCAACCCCCTCGCGCTGACTGAAACCTCTGGCCACGTAGCGCGCCTTGAAGACAGGCGGCTCTCCAGGGGGGCGCTTCACCTTGAAGAGCCACCGACCATCGACTACGTTCACCCCAGGCGGGGGAACTGCGTCGACGTAAGTGCCGGTGGATCTCCAAGATGCCATCTCCTGCTCCATGGCAGCTATCCACTGAGAGGCCCAAGGTCCCGAGGTGGCCTCAGCGTAGGTGCGAGGGGTCGGGATGTCGAAGGCGTCTGGGTCACCCTCAGGGACTAACAGCATGGAGCAGAGATGGGGAGCAGCCTCGGAAAGGAAAGCCAGCTCGTACTGCCTGTCCTCTAGGACGTCACTGCCAAGGGCAGGAGCACCCCCGACGGACAGAGGACGGGCAGGGTCAGAGACCAGAGCGGTAGCGTAGTCAAGGCGGCGGGTAGAAGCGAAGTCAGCGACAGCAGCGACAAGCGCGTCAAGGCGCGAGACAGGAACAGCAGGGTCGGTAACAAGAGAGGCAAGGACCCGAGGGACAAGGGGACGAGCAGCACGTAGGTAGTCAGAGAACGGAGGAGGTGCAACAGCAAGGGACGAGGGAGGAGGGGACGGGAGGAGGGGAGGACGAGACGAGTGGGAACGGAGCAACATAGGGTGGGTGGGCAGGACAGGAGAGACGGGACGAGCACGGGAGGGACGGCGAGCCCAAACGTGAGACGGAGGGGTAGGGTCAGGGGACAGCGGAGGAGACACAGGAGGGGAACGAGGAGGAAGACGGGCCGGAGACGAGTCTGGCGGCGGGAACACAGGACCGTAGACAGGGAGGTCAGGAGGCGGTGGGGGAGACACCGGCGCGCGGTCCGGGGAGGGAAGGCCGAGCAGGCGGAGAGCGGAAACCGGCGGCGACGGCTGCTGCGGCGGCGACGACGGCTGGGCCGGAACTCTCGGACCAGCAGAGGCAGAACGACCGTCGGCAGAACACTCAACAGCAGCACCCCTAGAACCAACACCCCCAGAGCGAGAACCCCCTCCAACACCAGCGGCACCCCCAGAAGCCGCAGGACGAACACCCTCCTCCACACCAGCACCCCCAGGGGCCGAGAGCAGCGGCGGCAGTGGCGGCAACGGCTGCGGCGGCGGCGACAGCGGCGAGGGCTGCGGCAGCGACAGCGGCGGCGGCGACGACGAAAGCGGCGACGGCTGCGGCGGCGACGGCGACGGCGGCGGCAGCGGGGTCGGCGACTGCGACAGTGGGGGCGGAGGCACCGGGGAAGGGGGACGCGGCAAGGACGGACCGGGGGTACCACCAGAGTCAGCAGACTCCTCAACGGGGACAACCGACGGGAGGGGAGTGACGTGGGAGACACCAGACGGGGCAGGACGAGGCGGGAGAGGGGCAGGGGCTACCGGGGGAGAGGGAGCAAGGAAAAGGGGGGGGGCAACTGGGAGACCTCGGTGAGGGAAGCGGCGGTAGAAGGAGACGGACTCATCAAAGGTGACGTCACGAGAGTGGAGGAAGCGGTGAGACGGCGGGTGGTAGAAAAGCCAGTCAGACGAGTCCAGGGGGAAACCGAGGAAGACACAGGGGACAGTGCGGGCAGTGAGCTTGTCCGTGCCAGAGGCACGAACGTGAGCAAGGCAGCCCCAGACGTGGAACGCAGACGCGTCACCGGGGGACCCGGTCCAAAGGAGGGTCGGCGAAACCTGCGGCCGCTGGGAGCGTGGCCACAGGTTAAGCTGGTGAGCCGCGTAGCGAACAGCGAACGGCCACAGAAAATGGGGGGCATCGGCATGGATCATGGAGGTACGGGTGACCTCCATGACCAAGCCGATGCGGCGCTCAGCAACCCCATTCTGCTGTGGCGAGTCCGGCAACGTGTACGACTGGGTGATGCCCTCCGCACGACAGAACTGTCCAAGCCGACCAGAGGCGAACTCGCCGCCACGGTCGGAGTGGAGACACAACACGGGGAGACCGCGGTGGAGACGCGCAGCCACAACCCACGGGAGAAGAACGTCGGGCACGTCGGCCTTCCGCTCCAGGGGAAACACCGTGGTGTAGCGCGTGTAGTCGTCGACAAGCACAAGGAAGTAGCGCTCACCGCGCGGTCCGGGGACGGGGGCAGGGCCCCAAACGTCCAAGTGCAGGGTCTGAAGGGGGGCAGTAGCAGGACGCAGCGAGGAGGAGTGAGGAGCACGGCGGAGCCGACCCTCGACGCAAGGCGTGCACGGTGGCGCAGTCGAGGGAGGAAGGGCAGGGAGCGACGCGGGGAGACCTAAGACAAGACCGTGCTGGGACATGTGACGCAGACGCGGGAGAGCAGGGTGACCTAAGCGGTGGTGCCAGAGAAGGGAGGGGTGAGTGAGGGACCGACACGAGCAAGCTGCAGCGACCTGGGAGGACGCACCAACCGGGGGGGAAGCGGTGTGTAGGGTAAACAGACCGGACACCGGGTCCCGGGGGAACGTCGCAAGGGGGGAACCTGAGACAGCCTCAGAACAGACAGCGAACCGCTCGTGCCCGGGGAACGTGGTGGTGACGCCGAGGTCCTGGAGACAGCCGACACCAACCAGGTTCCTGGAGAACGAGGGAACGTGGAGGCCAGTAAGGGAGCCCGAGGGAACTGCCGGACAGGGAAGGGACGTAGAACTGCGCGCGACGACCGGACCCGCAGAGGGGTCAGCGAGAGAGACAACAGGAG